TATATATATGTATTGTATATATTAACGTATATTATTATCGAAATAAGAGCTTTATATTAAGAAAGGAAGAAAGAAGTAAGAGAAAAACTTAAGAAAGATAACTAAAAATAAAATGAATGGAACAAATTTAAAGAATATATTGGCTTCAGTAGAAAACAAAACTAAGAAGATGAAGAAAAAGAAGGAAAGCTAATAGATAAAGAGAGAGAAAAAGACATGATTTTTGTACAAATAATTATTAACTTTCCATTCAAATTTCTTATGTTTAGGGATTAATAGTTAATATTTCTATTTTAATGGAACTGTGTGCTACAAATATAAATATTTTTCTGCCATATCTGTAATATTGAATTTAATGCTAAAAATTTGTAATATTTCTTTTAAACTGTGACAGTTATGTAAAGTCCCCTAGATTCTAAACCCCTGTTCATTTAGAATCCAGCTGCACGTGTTGTCGCCTCTAATTGAGGAGTTAACGGTTTTTTGGCTTGTATTGAGACTTGGATCACAAGCTGTGGAGCTTGGGCCACCTTGTATACACCTGACAAATTTTATGGGATATCTATTATAGTATTTTTTACTAGTACAAATATCGGGTAACTTTGTCTATTTGAGACTTCATGTTTCTCAATTCATTTTATTGATTCTTAGTTATGTACTATGCATCGTTGTCTTGTTAATTTTTCAGTTGTAATTTTCTTTCTGGTTTAACCATCTAGTATTCTAGTGTATTTATTGACTCGTCTAATTCGAATCACATTTAGTGAGCGTTTGGACATAAGAATTGTAATAAAAAAAGGGTGAAAAAAATTTTCAAGTGAAAAAATGGTATTTGAAATAGAGTTGTGTTTGGACATGAATAGAATTTTGGGTTGTTTTTGAAGTTCTTTGAGTGAGTTAAGTGAAAATATTGAAAATTACTTTTTGGAGTTTTTCAAATTTTCGAAAATGCATCTTCAAGTGAAAATTGGAATTTTATGAACAAACGCTGATTTCGAAAAAAAAAGAAGTTTTTTTGAAAAAAAGAAAAGAATTTCTTATGTCCAAATGGGTTTTTAAAATACAGACGTTATTTCATTATCACACCTGTTACGAATATGGGCTAAGTTAGGGGTTTTTAACCGAAGATTTTTGTTTTTATTATGTGGTGTCCTTAGTTTATTTTATGTTAGTTGAGTCCCGTTGTTATTTCCATTTTAGTACCTAAAGGTGTCCACTTTTGTTAGTCGACACGTGTCCATTTTGTTAGGCTACTAGTTGTTTAATACCGTGTATTCCCTGTTTTGTTCAGTTATCTTGAATGAAAAATCAATTTTATCTTCCTGTTTTTCTTTGTTTTCTTTTCTTGCTTTCTTAATTCATTTCCATGGCTATTCCCATTCGGGAATCGCTACAACACCAAAGTATTCTTCAATTTTGGAGGCCGAAGCGAGTGCTACAGGTTGAATTCAACTCCAAATTTTTGAGATGTGCCCAATTTGCTGTAACCAAACAAGCCAACAACGGTTAGATACATGAACGTCAAAAAAGCAACGACCAATTCCATTTTAAAATTTGAAAAACTAAGGAAACAATGAAGAAAATGGAAAAAATAATAAGACAAGCAATCATGTTTTTCATGTTGGCAACTGGCAAGTGGGGAAGGAATTTTCATTTATTAGAAGAGGTCCATAATTATTCTATACTATACAACTCAGTACTATCTGTTTTCATAACGTGCAGTGAATATCAACCTTACACGTGTCCCTTAATCAACGGCTAAAAACAGGTAATTTTATTGAGTCCTCACCAAACAGGGAAGAAATCTAGTTTTGACAGAGTGGATACTAAGTGGAGATCCTTTACAATCAAATTTCAAAAAAAGGCAAATAGGGATTGAGGACTCCCTCATCTCTGCCTCCTTAAATACCATTTTTTTGGGTGTAAATCATAGCTTAGCATTTTTAGAGATAGAAAAAGAGTAGAGAAAAAAAAAAGGGTCTCAAGAAAGAAGAAAAATGGAGGTCTTGAGACTCTGTTTAATGGCTATTTTTGGTTTGGTTTTGGCATTGGCTATTCCTTCAATCAATGCTCAAGTCCCTGAGCCTGCTCCTGCCCCTGCAAGTGATGGTAAGCCCTCAACTTTTTCAACCCCCCCCCCCACCACCCCCCCCCACACCACACACACACATGTGTATGTAACTATGTTACTTTAACTCTTCAAAAATGTTGTTGGGTGTGTGTCAGATCCTCCAAATTTAGGGCGTTTTTGGAGGATCCGACAAGGATGCCGCAGCGCTTTTGGAGAGTCCGAGCAACATAACTATTTGAGACTTGATAATGTATGAACAATTCTTGGCTCTAGAAATAGATCTAGGATATATCAGCAATAGTACCACTTCTTAACATACACACACACCTATATATATTTTTTCGGTTCAATCATCTAGTATGCGAAGTTAGTTCATTGGCGGGCTAATTTAGATTCACATCGAGTAGGCACATTAAGGGGCTAAGTGCTCCGTACTAGAAGTTTTCCGTTTTTAGCTCTGAACTTGAGACTTCTGGTTAAAAATGGAGTAACTCCAATTATCACGTTGAACCCCCCTTTCGCCCACCTAACTTCGCCCATGCCTGCTGCATCTCTTGATGGTTACTGTGGCCAGTGGCGGAGCCGCACGTAAGAAAGGAATATAATCCCCTTAGTCTCAAAATTACACTATGCGGGCAAAATCAATTTTTTTTGTGTGTGTATATATATAGGGGCAGAGGTAGAATGCAGGATACGGGTTCTGCTGAACCTAATAGCTTTGGTCCAAACTCTATATTTATCTTAAGAAATTCATGGTGTATGGATAAAGATTAACTTTAGAACCCAGGACTAGAATCCGGAACCTATAAACTTCAATTTGTGGCTCTAGCTCCGTGTCTGATAAATATATAAATCATCAAATAGGAGATAAATGTACCATTTTGGTGATCATAATATAATTGTTCTTTTTAAGTTAGGTTGGTAATATTATTTAATGTGGTATTATTGATTTGCTTTTTGCAGGAGTTGCAGTTGACCAAGGTATAGCCTATGTGCTAATGCTGGTTGCTTTGGCCATTACCTACATTATTCACTGAGCAATGTGTACAGCCTCCATTGCGGCTTTTCTTTCTTTTTATTTTTTTTATTTTTTTAAATTTTCTTCTGTTTGGGATTGATAATGGTAGGCATGAATTGATCATGTTTTAAAATTTCATACTCTTGTATTCTTTTTTAGAGGTTGAAATTCCCTATTTCTTTCATTCAGTGATTAAATCGTAGAAATTCTTTAAATCTCCTTCTACTTTACATTTCGTATTTATATTTTTTTTGCATACCAATAATAAGTACGTCTCAATACCAAACATGTGACAATCGACTATATGAAGTATATTTTGGTTGACTCCAATAGCTGGAGACACATCAACTCGCGCAGCTCAAGTGCCTAACCAATTAATATTTTACCTACAAAAAATGCTACCAAGGTTACGTAGTATTCATACAGGAAATTATGATGATCGACACCTATTTCAGAGATTTCTAGCAAAATCTTTTTCAAACAATTAAATATCATTTTCCCTCTTTAATTTTGTTTTAAAAATTGAACTCTCCACCTATGCGGTATTGTTCAAAATCGGAGGGGGGAATTTGATTTTTAAAGTAAAGTTTGGCGAAGGAAAATGATTTTCATCTTTTTCAAATATGAAAATTCAGAATCTCTCACAATTTAATAAATTGAACTGGATTCTTTTGTTTTAAATTTTTTTCTAAATTTCATTGTGAATTTGATAGAATGTAAAGATAAAAATGCAAGGGAGTCCAGATATTAGTTCTTTTTATTGGAACTACGCTCCTAATTTTATCGAAAACTTATCGGTTGCTGATTCAGTTTAATAAAACTTTTTGTTTAAGTTCAAAAAATATGCGAGGAATTTAAAGATGGAAATTGCCCTTTAAGAGATGCACCAGACAAGATATTAAACAACAGATTGTGGTAACAAACATGGCACTACATAAATATTCTCTTCAGCTGATATTGCATCACTAAGGAAAATTAAAGAAAAAACTTAAAAAAAATAAAATAAAAAGTGAACATAAAATTTTTATGAGCATGGACCACAAAATATAATGATACAACATCCAGGTAAAGGTGTTTAACGGGTGGGCCGGGCCGGGCCGGGCCTGTATTTTTGGACCCGTACGGGTTACGGTCCGGGCCGGTTACGGGTTGGGTCTTAACGGGTTTAACGGGTTCGGGTTCATCCGGGTAAAAATTAAACCATAAGGGTTACGGGTTGAGGGGGCCGGGCCGGGCCGGGTTTAGTATAATTTTAAATTTTTTTTTTGGATTTTGTATAAATATTGTAAGTTATAGTACTAATACAAAGTACTAACATAAAGAATACAAGGAAGATGGGAAAAAATTAGCACTTATAAATTGCAAGTGCTATATTTATTTCAAAATTACAAAATTAAAGTTTGCATTTAAAAATTAAATAAAAAAATAAATAGTAAACTAAATTTTCATGCATAATAAATTAATAATACTTCAAATTAATCTAACAAACTAAATCATTAAGCATAAATACGTCTAATAATTTAAAATAACACAAATTGTCTTAAAATCTTAAAATAACACATATATAACATATTTTAAAAATAATACGTTACCATCATATTCTATGATTTGAGCATTTATAGTTTTATACCCTAAATATATACACTATATGTTAAATTCCAACAATTTTAATATATGTTAATTAGTATACAATAATTGGTATATTCATGGTATATTCATGGTATATTTATAGTATATTCATGGTATATTTATGGTATATTCACGGTATATTCATGTTTTATTCATGTTCCGGGCCGGGCCGGTTAACCGGTTTAACGGCACTGTTCATCTAACAGGTTTTACCGGGCTGGGTAACCCGTTTCAAAAATTTAAACCGTCCAAACCCACCCCAACTCCCCTACCCAGCCCAGCCCAGCCCCCCTTACCGGTCCGGGCCGGTTCCGGGTTCTACCGGTCGGACCGGCCCGTTTAACACCCTTACATCCAGGGACGGGACAGACCTTGCTAATAAGTTAATGGTTCACGTGACCGAGTAATTTTTGTCCATTTTACATATACGTACTAAGAAATTCACTAAATATTGTTAAATATTTTGACTATAGTGTATATTAATTTGAGGCTCGCTTTCAAATCTTGAATTGCCTCTGACAGCATCACTTAGGAAAATTAAAAAATAAAGTTAGCATAAATATTTTTATTAGCATGGACCACAAATTGCAACTGCAAATCTCCATTTCCTGCAACAACCCTATGTACAACCCTATGTAGTGATCTCTCTTAGACTTCCAAATAATGTTGCTCACTATTTCACCAATTAGTAACCAAACCATAGAAAGTAACTCCAAATTCTCTCTGATAAGCTATAGTTTACCACAGCTAATTCAATAATACATGGTCTGATCTCAAAGAGCCATCTGTGCTTGTAAAGCAGCAAGTTCATCGTCTTCAGCAGCGCGATTTTGAGGGATCGGGCGAGTAGGTTGCTTCCCTGCTGCGACATCGCAGCAAGGGCTGCAGTTGCTGGTTGAAGCAACTGCTCTTCCAATTCTTCAAGTTATGCATCCAATTCATCCTACAAGGACAACATGATAAACTAATTAGTTTTACGCTAGCTGTTAGCTTGTCGCAACTCTCCTCCTTTATTCAGGTCTGGGACCGGTAAATTGAACAAAATCACAGATAAAGATAAACTTAAATGGAGCGACAAAGATAAGTTTAAATGAAGCGCAGAATATAATATTCCATCAATGAATACAAATAGAGTACTCATCATAAATTAGCTAATTTCATGCTAGCTGTCAGCCTACCGCAATCCTCCTTTATTCGGGCTTGGGACCGGCAAATTTGAGCAAAATCACCGGCAACGATGAGCTTAAATGGAGCGACAAAGATGAGATTTAAATCCTCCTTTATTTGGGCTTGTATAATTGATACATTCTTTTTATATTTACTTTTATATTTATTTTCTAATATCGGTTTAAATGGAGCGATATAGTCCGTTGATTCATCTAGCAAACCCTAACTTATTTGAGATTGAGGACTAGTTATTTTTTTTATTGCAAAGAATACAAATAAAGACCGGAGGGGATAATATAATCAGAGATAGGCATGAAACCTCATCAAAGTCAGCTGCTGAACCAATAGGAGTGGTCAAAGCCTCCTGTATTTGCTTTATATTCTCAGTTTGTTCATTTATTTCGTCCATTGTCTTGTCCACATCATCAATTTTCCTGTAAAACAGATGTATTTTAGGCGCTACAAGTTTATTAACATACTTACCACAGTAAAAAAGAGCAAATAACCTTCCAAAAAAGCTTAACCAATCGCACTCAACATGTTATATGTATAAAAAAGGGCAATTTAGTGCACAAAGCATCCCGTGTTCATACAGGATCAGGAGAAGGATCACACCCATTAGTGACTGCTTCTACAGCTCGAAACCGTGACCTATAGGTTACATGAAGATAACTTTATTGTTGCTCCAAAGCAAGCCTTAAGGGTAACTTGATGCATGTTATATGTATAAAAAAGGGCAGTCCAGTGCACGCATTTCGCGTTTACACAGAGTTTCGGAGAAGGACTGCAGGCTACTTTTACGGCTCGAACCCAAGACCTATAGGTTACACGAAGATAACTTCACTGTTGCTCCAAGGCAAGCATTAGTGGCAACTTGATACATGTTATATGTACAAAAAATAGCAGTCTGGTGCACAAGGTATCTCGCGTTCACGCAGGGTGTGGAGAAGGACCACACGTCCACACCTTTTAAGGGGCACGATATGGATAGCCTACCCTAACGCAAGCATTAGTGGCTGCTTTCATGGCTTGAACCCGTGACCTATATGTTACACGAAGTTAACTTTATTGTTGCTCCAATGCAAGCATTAGTGGCAACTTGATGCATGTTATATGCATAAAAAAAGGCAGCCTGTTGCACAAGGCATCTCGCGTTCACACTAAATTCGGAGAAGGACCGCACCCCTTAAGGAGTGTGATGTGGATAGGCTATCCCCTAACGCAAGTATTAGCGGCTGCTTCCACGGCTCGAACTCGTGACCCATAGGTTACACGCATATACTTTACTGTTGCTTCAAGGCACGCATTAGTGGCAACTTAATGCATGGTATATCATATATGTATAAAAAAGGGCAACCCGGTGCACAAGGCATCTTGCGTTCATATAGAATCCGGAGAAGGACCACACCCTTAGACAACCTATCTTAATGCAAGCATTAGTGCCTGCTTCCACGGCCCGAACCCATGATCTATAAGTTACACGAAGATAACTTTACTGTTGCTCCAAGGCAGGCATCTGTGGCAACTTGATACATGTTATATGTATCAAGTATAGGAAAGCAACAAACAATAAAAAGGAAATAAAGTCAGTTTTGTCACTTACAATGCTTTTTGCATTGCTTTCATTGTAGCTGCTGAGATTCTCAAAGCATCAAGAGTTTCAGTTGTAGCTTTAGCACTTTCTAATATTATCATCTGCACATTGAAAATTTGACATGTAATTTATTTATGACAATATAATTTTTAAGTAGCACCATACAAAAAGGTTATAAACGAACGAGCAACCTGATCATGAATGCGAAGTTGGGAACTGCCAAGCCTTTCACTTTCCTGCTCATAAAGCTTTTTCCTCTTCAAACATTGTATAGCCGCTACAATAAAATAACGATAATTAAAACTTTTCTTCAGTTCAGAAGAAGACGGCCTTAAAGTTGTCTTTTTATGACCTATAAATCATATGTTCGAACCGTAAAAACAGCCACTAATACTTGTATTAGGATACGTCTAGAAGGCGAAGAATTTCAAGAGATGACAAAGCAAGAATGCTTATTGCAGTACTAAATTGCTAAATACTTCAAGGAACAAACAAACATTTGAAGTAAGTAAAAATGCAGTAAGATCATTCCTCTCGAAAATTAAATAGCTGCGCCAGAACCTCATTCCCAATTTATGTGACACATTTTGGATTTCAAGAGTCGAACTTTTTAATTTTGACTGTAAATTCAAAAATAGATTCTTTAAATTTTTTGAAATAAAATATGCATATTTGGAAACTACGTCAAAAATACTACTATAAATCACAATAATTAACAATTCAAACTATATTAAAGGCATATAAAAATACGAGTATAAGCAAACAACTCAACCATACCTCTTTTATTCTTAGCTTTTGTAAATTCTTTGGCCTTTTCAACCTCCA